AAGATTTGCACGAAAATTCGCCCGTGCAATAAAACGCCCTGTAACTCGCTTACGCTAATCTCACATTCCAATATGCCACTGCACTTTCCTCTCCAGCCTGGCCACATTCTCTTCCTCGCAAACGTACTTGGGCACCTTACAATCCAACACCATACGTGCTTTGGAAACGCGGGCAGCTGCTTCACAAGGACCCCCCTATTTGCGCTGATGCAGATGCGCGAAGTGTGGTGTCATTTGTGAAAGGATGTGGTGGAGCATGGCGGGGCCAGGGGAGTGTACGGCAGATCGTGGGCATCCAAGGTCTGCACGAGCCTTTCGTTATCGCTTCGGCATTACGAGAGGTACTTTTTGGGTACGACTTCGGAAGCTGATGTGGTCGGCTGCTGATGAGATTGTACGGCCCTGTACGGCATAAGGCTGCTGCTGCATTTTCGCAGTGACCAGGAAGCGTTCTTGCCATGTTCACCGCATTGTTTAGGTACGTTTCTGTAGTTTTGACACCGCTGCCCGCCGGCGGGCGTTCGGTTGGGGTTGAATGGTTTTTATTATTAGCTGAATGATTGCTAGCTGCCGTACATTCATCCGTATCTTGAAGTTGTGACGTACGGTCGTATAACATCATAATTCGGATGTCGGGACGAGGTCGCTTCGGGTCCTCGACTCCTCGCGCTGGAGGGCCGGTGGCATCCCCGTTGCGAGCTGGTGAAAAGCATAGAATTTGCCGTACTTGCCGTACCACCGTGTTTATGGGCTTCTTGCCCGTACGTGTGCAAAGACGTGCGCGTTTGCCTGCTAGAGTTGCATTTATCTTTATCCAGTCTAGGTCTCTGTTGTTGATGTTGATGTTATTGTTGTTGTCGTTGCTGCTGCTGGTGTGCAGGGCTGCAATCACTGTGTGTCGAGTGCATCGGTGCATGTGAACATCAAGCTGAGGAAAAAGGGACTTGTACCAATACTATCACACACCGGAGGAAACACCTTTCCGCGGGCTTTGCTGCAACAACCAATTTCGTGCGGTGTGCTCGGATGCTTAGCATTTCTGCCGGAGATGCTAAAACATTTTTTTGTAAACTGGAGGACAGACCCGGCTACGCATGTGTGCCCATCAGCCAAGCGTCGGCCAAGCTAGATATAACCCTAACAAACGTCAGCTCAGGTTTGACGAATTTGGCATCTCGTAATGTATCATCTTAAGATCGTGGAGGGTAACCGATACAGACATCATCAGCAACAACGTAAGAAATGAAATGAGCGGAACTGGCTGTCGGAGCCATCTGGCTGTCGGAGTCCATATGCAAACCCCCCACTTCCCCTGCCGCCGTTGCACTCTTTTCCTCAAAATCCTCATCAAATCCTGGGAGTGTGCACATATGCACACAGATATACATGCAGATGCACACATACGTACATACATACATACACACATACGCCACAAGATGCAATTGCGTCAAGCTGCTACTGCTACTCCCTGCGAGGCACCAGTTGTTGCTCCGAGCTGCTACAGCCCCACATGTCCCGTCTGTGTTTCACTGTTCTTCGCACTGGGTCTGGGTCGCCATAACAGTAAAACCTTAAAACCTATAAACCTATAAACCATTAAATAATGTACAATTCAGTGCACAGGTGTTCCTGTTCCTGTTCCTGCTTCCGTTTCTCTTACGTCCTGCCCACCACCTGCAACGGTTCGCTCCTTGTCTTCACCACCTTGCATTCCCAGTAATTCCCAATAATTCCCAACTGCCTTAAGCTCATTTAAGTTGAAGACCGGCTACTCTATCTCAGCTGCAAGTGCCATTATTGCTACTCTACTACAACATTCGACTACATCGACTACCCAGTAACCCTTCGACTTCGCATGCCAACATTTTAAACTCGTCTCGCATCGTAAAACCTCACAATACTAATCGTGATTAATGTGTTTCTCCTAATACTAATACGACGGTGATACTGAGCTACAGCTACAATTGCGATTGTTGCCGCGTCATCGCCGCCGCCGCCGTCGGCAGTTGCTGCTGCTGCTGCTGTTTGTCGAGTGGCGGCGGCATCGCCTCCACGACGATGCTAGATGCGCCGCCGCCGCCGTTGCAAATGGCGGCGCAGCCCCTCCTACCCCCCTTGGAGCGCAGCACGTTGAGCAAAGTCACTAGGATGCGCGCACCGCTCGCGCCGATAGGATGCCCTAGAGCCACACTCCCGCCGAAGACGTTGACTCTGAAAGGCCGAGTGGAAGAAAATTTGGGTTTAAAAGGCGCTATGGGTTTTACTTTATTCAAAATATTAATTAAATCAGGTTTTAATACTGGGCTTTATTTCGGGATGTTGGCCTTGCCGATTGCAGTGTAACTTTAAAATGTACCTAAAACCCCAAAACCAAAGTTAAAACCGCCCTAAAACCGTAATGTAAAACTCAGAACCATCCAAGGGACACACGCACCGCTCGGCCGGTAGCCCCAGCAACTGCCTGTTGACCAGGTCAACGACGCTGAACGCCTCGTTGACTTCCCAATAGTCCACGTCAGATGCTGACGTCAGCCCCGCGTGTTTGAGTGCGCGTGGTACTGCTAGCGCCGGTGCTGTCGTAAACCATTCTGGCGATTGCGCTGCGTCAGCAAAGCCCCGTACCGCCGCCAGCAATGGCAAGCCCAGACGCTGTACGGCGAATCGATGCATCGATGCGACCCATTTCCACCGCGGGGGAAAGGGAAACGTATGAGTTATAAACACAATGCCGTGCGCACACATTGCTTGGCAAAAAGGTGCGAGAGGAAAAGTGAACCCTGCAGGACAGTACGACAGAAAGTTCGTACCTGTACGGCTTCATAACTCGCTACCACCAATGCCGCCGCCCCGTCGGTCATAGGCGACGCGTTGCCCGCTGTGACC